TCTCTCTCTCTCTCTCTCTCTCTCTCTCTCTCTCTCTCTCTCTCTCTGCGGTACGAGCCTGACAGAGGTTGGGAATCACACTCGGGGCTCGACATCCCAAATCCCTTTTATTGGAATTCCCCTGTAGTGTCTGGGTCATGCTGACATCCTGGCACCTGTTCCACACCCACCAGCTCCATCAATCCCAATGTAAAGCTCATGGGGAATTCTCCTCCGTGAACACACACACACCCACCTGCACATCTGTAGCTATCCTCATTCCTGAGCGGACACAGTTGCATGTATGTGTTTGGGTTTCTGTTTGTTTGTGTGTGTGTGTGTGTTTGCTTGCACTCATGTGCACGTGCTCGCAAAAGGACCGAGAGAGCGCATCTAAGTCCACGTGAAGTCATTCCTTCACTGCGAATACAACCATCTGTCCGACTGTTCTCCGAAAGGTGCTGCTTCTAGTCTGTTTTCTGAGTGAGATAAAGCAAGATGCAAAGACTTCAAAGAGAAACTGCACACTAAATCCCGAAAGTAAAACTATTACCTGGCTAACATTTACATATAGATGGAATCTAAATCAGCATCACGCCAAAACCATGAGCCTAAGAGAAGGGTTGAGCACCATAATCCACTGACTTCTCTTTCAAACCACTAAACCCACTTCTGAATCTATCTCCCCTGTTCGGAGTGGATGAATTGAAGGTCTGTGACATGTGATCTGGGCAATCTATCATGTTACTTAGAGATAATTAAAGCTGAGAGTGGATTGGCTCTTAGTGGGCACGTAGCACATGTCTGAGCCTCAAGTGCCCTAAATCTGTCATTCACTATGGTCTTAATGCCTTTCATAACAGGCATTTATTATTCATAATGTTCTCATTTACAAGCACCCTGTATGCAATGCTCCTTTGAAGGGAATCGGACAAGAGTGGATGTTGCCTCTGTCCTAAACAGGCATCAACTGCCACTTACAAGGAATTACCAGCTCACCCAGTGAATGGAGGAATACGGGAAGTGGAAACAGAGTGCAGTGATTGAGAGCATCCAGAGAGAAAGGATGAATGAAACAATGCCGACGTGCAGCTAACCTCGATAGTCCTTTAAGCACTCTTTTAAAAGTAGACATCATCCAAACACCCACTAGGCATTGTATTACTCTCCATCAAACCTGCACAATAACTGCTGCAGACTAATGAGCGAGACGGTAACAGATGCAAATCTAATAACCAGACGTTACTAATTTCATCACGGCCGTCTCTTTTCCTGTTAAGGTACATCTATCTGCTCATTACGACACGCGCGGGCAGAGGCCATGCGGTGTGTCACTGCTGATGTATGATGTCGACGCGTACCAATTAGTGCTGGGAGACTGCGTGGTCCGGGCTGCTCATAACTCATGCCTCGTTTGATTTTGATACAATTAGAGACAGAGGTCAGAATGCATGCTTCATTAATCCACAACTACTTGTTTCATGTTGATGCCAGGTTCTGCCCGAGGTTTCTACCCGTCGAAAGGGAATTTTCTTTCTTTCCACTGCCGCCCCAGTGCTTGCTTGTAGGGGAATGTTGGGTCTCTGGTAAATTAAAAAGTATGGTATAGAACGGCTCTTTATGAAACGTTTCTTTGGATAACTTCTCATTTTTGTGTCCATAACGCTTTCTGATATATATTGACATAAAGATTCTTGAGGTAAGCATGGTTCCTTCACACTTTCCTGCATGTCCTTCTATTTGTGATCAGTCACAGCGACAGTGTGCCACCACAGCAGCCTGATGTTAACAGATTACCAGGGGACGGCCCAGTGGGCATGATGGTGTTATTGATATCGAGAAAGGGACTTTACCAACATGTGTTGTACATTGAATGCTAAAATGATCCCCTATGGTTGAAGTGGAACCAACATTTCTTTCAATACTAGTGCTGATACACAAGTTTCAGTTCCAATGTACTGGAGTTTTTTTTTAATTTACTCTCACAAAAACACATTGCATGTATCCTTGAGGACTAACAAATGTGTTGAAGGCATTCCTTCCTCATAAAACATCTGCAAAAAGTATTTTAAAAGCTAGATTGTACTAACATGTTTATTAGCTATAGGGTTCCTCTTTTTCCCTGCTTTTGTTGGCGCATTGTGATGTTTCTCTGGTTGTTCCTGCTACAGGACTACTAACGCTCAAACTCCACAAGGTACCTTTGACTTCAAAAATATAAATAAAAACAGATTTATTTCAATCAGAAATGAACTGATCCTCAAGAGGGCCGAAGCTCACAAACTACAATTCTTACATACTGTTGACGTTTGAGGGAAAATGTCATTACTTAAAGCCTCAATATCTGATGGAGTAATTGATATGCTTACTCCAGTGGGTTATTAACCACACCAGGGATTTAATCATATTCAATTGCTCTTTTGATCCAGCCAATCCATAAAGACAGACTGACAATAGCTTCCCATATGACAGCATGCAGGCCATGTGGAGGCAGCTAAGACCAGCTGTGAAAAGCCTCTCTCTCTCTCTCTCTCTCTCTCTCTCTCTCTCTCTCTCTCTCCCTCTCTCTCCAAAGCAGCCGGCCGTGACAGAGTGATTCGGCCTGTCATCGGGATCACTCTCATCATCCCCGTGTCAGTGGCAATGCTGCCGAGTAGCCAAAGGACATCCGAAGACCTGTCAGGTACACGGGCCCTCAAAACGTTCTGTCCCGTTTCCAACCGAGCTCCTGCCGGGCTGAGGAGCTGTTTATGTAAAGTGGGGAAAGATATATCAAAATGTACTTGACAATCCAGTTGCCCTGGAGAAAGAGCGGTAACTTACGGAAATGAAAATGTACATCCTACAGTTCTCTCTTTTTTTTGCTTTTTTGCTTCCTTTAGTTGTGATGTACTTTCCCTCTCGCTAAATGAAAAACAAGAACAAAAGACTGATCATTCACATATCCATCAAACACATTGGGGTAGGGGGATTCAAGCCTATCCCAGCATGGATAAGTGATTGAAAAATAAAAAACAATCACATAATAAACTGGTACATGTAACAGAATTGCCAGTGGGATTGTGTCCTGGATTCCTGTGTTCAAGGCAGTAGTGGAATCCTGTCATGTCTGTAGAGCAGAATAGCATATGAGCTATAATTTCTCCAAACACACACACACAAGCCCCTTCCCCCCCGCACACACTCACGCAGCCATAAACCTTGTGGTGGTGATAAAGCTGTCACCAGACGAACAGCTACTGTGTTTACCTCCCTGTCGACCTCCCCCAGACAGACCCTATACCCTCTCTCTCTCTCTCTGTCTCTCTCCACAAACACAATGATCAGCCTCACTCACTGGGAACTTGCCTCTCTCAATCGCACGAAACCGAACGATGTCCTCATTAACAGCACACCTGTTATGCTCTGCAACCCTTGGCCTGAATTGAAAGGGAACATGTGTTGCAGTCCTGCTTAACTTGTTACCGGCGACTTCTGACAGACTCCCTACTTGGGCGACTCGCGCCTGCATCTACTGTACTGTTACAGCATGCTGTCATTTCAATTCAAAACCGTTCTATCGGGAGCAGCGAGGCTGTATGGGGACAGCACAGACAAGCTCCACTGAAGAAGAGGTTGAAGAACGAAGACTGCACTGGAGGACGAAGCCACGGGGGACAGTGATTATGTCACGCAAGACTGGAGAGAATCTAATGATTGATTTACAGCATTTGATCATTTCACAAAGGAAACTGGTCTTCAGCAAGCACGACAAAATAAATGTTTGTTTTTCACCCATCTGGTCAAACAGAAGCAGATACTGCCAGTGAAGGTGAGCAAATGTTCCCAGGGTTGCATCCTAAACAGGGGGAGTGGGGGAAATACCTTACTAAGCAGGACGTGTGTTAAGACGTGAGAGACGCTGCTGCTGTTGCTGCTGCATCTTGGAGCTCAGCACGGTCTTGAAACGTGATGCCCAGCTCCCGATGCTTCATACTGTGAGGCTGAGGGGTGGAGGAGGAGAGCGCTGAGGGTGTGGAGTGCAGCTAGAATTTCTCTCCACACCTGACTGGTTTCTGACAGAGCCGGTGTTACTTTCATGCACCTTTTGCAGTAAACTGCAAGAGACAAATAACACATCCGGTTGGTTTGTATATTTGTAATCTGCGCTTTGCCTTCGGGTGAAACAGCTGCTTATGCTTTGGAGGATATGATGCAGTGTTTTTTCCCTCGCATATAGAAAAAAACTATCAACAGTGCCACACCTGTTCAGTAAATCCACTCAAATTTGCATATCCAAATCAGAAGTGAGTTTACACACACGCTCCCATGTTAATAATTACACAAAACGAGATCATCTTTGCACCATGACGCCAGTCGACCCGATCAAAACAGCACGTGTGACATCAGTCCGACTTATCAGTGGCTCCTGTGTTTGTTTTCAATGCCGTCTATCGTCCGATGTACTCTCCTGTAAACGTGTCCGCGGCAGGAGACGCAGTGACTCCGGCGCCTGCAATGAGCGGATCCCTTCACACACGCCCTTTCAGACAGACGTGCACGCCGCTGACTCACGCCGCGGCCACACACAAACTGCGATGCCCCCGTCAGTAGTAAAGTGATGCAAGCATCAGCTACAGTGTTTCGAACGAGGCAGGGAATCGTGATGGCATCACACTGTTGCGAGTAAAAGTTCGAGGCGTGACGACACGGCGTTCCAATCACACCAAATAGAACGTGTGCGTGGGCTGTTTGTAAAGCATCCTAACACCTTGCACGCTCACAAATGTACACGCATATATACAGGCTGCGGGCGTGAGCGAAATTCCAATATGGTAATATGTAAGTAATGCAGTATTGTACTTTTAATCGCTACTTACCAGCACTACACTGTGATCCCCATCTCTGATCCCGATTTGTATCCGATGTCAAATCAATAAATCTTCCGCTCCAGGTATTCCCAAATTAATCAGCGCTTACAAAACAGCCTGTTCCACTGGCATCAGTGGGAGAAGTGGAGCCGGACTCGGTCTGATTGCTTAAAGTGTCTGAAAATGTCTGTCGGTAGTATAGCTTGTTAGATGTCCCGGCCGCGGACGGAGAGCTGACGCCGTGAAAGAGCGCGTCCCTGAAGGCGTGGCGAGCGTCCTGTCCTGCGCCAGTGGGAGATACGGCGCGCCGCACAGCTCATCCACAAGGTCCTCTGAGCAAGTGAGAAGACGGAGGACGGGAGAGGAGAGGGAACTACTCACGCGCCTGTCAAGTAGGCAAAATACTATGACTTCCGCTTTTCCATTTTCAAAATACGACACTCAATAACGAACGGGGTTGCAAGTTATTTATTGTATGGGTGGTGGAAACGTGACCAACTCGCTGAGCAACTCAGTTGAGGGCGCGAGGGCAAAATATATCTCCAGACACCAACAACATATATCTGTGCATCTCGTCAGTTAACAAATAAAATACTTGTCAGATTGTCACTTACAGCAATATGAATCATGTTAGCACTGGTTTTTGTTAACAGTTGTCATTTTAGTTACATTTAAAACTGTAATTTTGTAGCAAATCAAATGTGAAGTTAATCCACAAACCATACACTCTGAACCTGATGCTTTTAGGGTGAGGAGGAATAAAACAAAATTATATTTATCTGAACTACATTTTCGTCATCCTTGTAATTTCAGTCATTGCTGAAATTTAAATTATTCTGGCGTCTGAGAAAATATTTCGAAACTTTTATTTTGTAGTGAAATGTATTTCCGGAAGCTTAGTGTTTTTCTGGTTTGACGCTGCTGTGGGTAAGCAAGCGGTGGTGGATTCTCTCTCTCGTCTCTCAGTGCTCTGATGCTTCTTCGGACACTCATTTCACAGGACTGTAGATTGTATCCTTCTTTCACCTGATTGACTATTTAACTATTTACTACTTAAAGACAATTACAACACAGTATAATATCGCACTGTGTAGGATGCTTTACATCCAAGTGAAGGTATTAGGGTGTATGTCACTATGGTTGTGTGATTTCAAAGCCAATATATGAGGCAGAATATGAATGTTAATTAATCATTCAAAATTGTTCTTTGGTTGGCTAATGAGTCATCCCATTATACATGAGAGCCAGACCAGAGAGGTTATCCAAACAGTTGTGGGCAGATTATTAGAAACAATGGGCGGTCTTTAATTTGTAATCCCCAGGCAAACCCTCTTCCATCCTGAGTGACACTCGCTAACCGTGACCCCTGAATGAAAGGGCCAACTCTGAATATGGAAATGAGACTCTGACATTAAGAGTCATGCTGCATTTACATTAAAACGTTCATTCATTTTGCCATTCACCTAATTCAAACAACATGAGGGAATGTCCAAAAACCAGCTACTGAGTGGACACGAGAGATTGGAATAATGGGTTATGGGAGTGGGGTATTGCCTGCTCTTGTGTTTTTTTCGCAAGGTTTAAATGCAAGATTCTATAGAGGAGGGTTATTAATTTGAAGGGAAGTGTTGTAGAGAAAGAGAGGGGGAGACGGACCGAGGGAGAAATAATTAAGCGGATGAGATGCAGAGTGGTAAAGGTTCTTGTCGGGCCATGAGGGGCTGTGTGTGAGCTGCTGTCCCTGGAGCTTTGATGCCTGCTGCAGGGCCCTGTGGTGAGGGAGAGGATGGGTCTGGCATTGCAGCAGAGGACAGAGATAAAAACTCTCTCTCTCTTACACACACACACACACACACACACACACACACACACACACACACACACTCAAAAGCAGGTGCAAAGGATCCTGCTACAGTGAGGTGAGAATTAACCAACATGTATACTATTTCACACTTGTGCTTAACACATATTCATTCTTTTCTTGTTTTTTCTAAGGAGAGATAAGAGATTTCCAAGCAAAAGTTGTGTGAAAAGTGAGCATTTTGACATCGTTGGCAGTGTTTTTGCAGAACCGTCTCACATTGGCGTGTTTGTGTGGCAATAGGTTTGCAAGACACTCGAGATCTGATAGAATGAAGTTGTAAACAAACTGACAGCATGGTTAAATGATCTATTTATCCGTGGGTTCTTGCACTCTTGGACTTGGACGCAACTAACTTGGTGCAAACAATGTCATCGTAACTGATAGAACTTATTCCCAAACTGACAAAAAAAGATACAAAATACAATAACCCTTTAACTGCCAAATACCTGACCCCAACCTTTAACCTGTCAACCAAAAACCAAGTCTTAATGCCAAAGCTTGTGGTGACCACATGTTTTTCCCTAGATGGAAGGGTGATTCCCAGCGGTGTGTGTGTGAGTGCGTGTATGTATGTTTGTCAGTATTTCAGACATTCGCTTTCTTACTCTGCCTCTTTAATCTTCACCAACTCTTAGGTTAGTTCCCCTTGTGTGTGTGTGTGTGTGTGTGTGTGTGTGTGTGTGTAGTCACTTGAACAGAAGCCTCTGCTAATGATTACACAGCAGAGCGTTGCGGCGCCCCTGCACATGTGAGAAGGGCTCTCTTTATAGTTTCCAAACAGCTTTTCTGGAATAGCAGAGGAAGCAGACAGAGGCACATTCAAACGTTTCACATCGCCTCTGCTCCCCACTCTCCCCTCGCAGGCTCACATTAAACAGTGGAGGTGTTGCAACAGTATCGGTGACGGATGCTAAGTGCAGCTTTCACACTTACAATGACTCAAGGTTTGTTTGCCCCCCCTCATTTTTTTATCAAAATCATTTGCATGCAGTATGCAACACCCACATTGCGGCCTTATCAGAAGCTGTTGAACGACGTCCTGGAGAAGTGCTGTTAATCAACTTGACAGTTACAGATGAAACGGAGCCCTGTCAGCCAGTATAGGTGAGGACGCTGTGTTCACAAATACAGTCTTCACAGAAACGGCAGCTTTCCGACCGTGTTAGTGCAATGATACGACCATTTTGAAACGTGGCTGTGACGATTGCTTTCGGTTAGGCTTACGTTCAACACAGTGTGTATCAATTGAAAGGTAGCAGTGGAGGTGACCTTGCAGAATCTTACGATGTTACATGCATAATGGGTACTGGTTGACCCAAAGCCTTACAATCTCTGTCCTGAAAGCACAGAGCTTTTATATATTTTTCCTCCGCAGGCTCTCTGACTTCCAGTTGCTCTTTAGTGTTTGTCTGTTGGCTCTCCCCCACCTCTCTCCCTCTGTCTCTCTCCAAAAACCCTGTTTCCTTGGCTCTCCTGCTGGGCACAACATGCCTTGCCAAGGGGAATACTCAGTATTTATGCCTCTTAAAATGAACAAAAACAAGATGAAATTGCATTTGCATCCGTTACTTGTAAATACGGCCGCACAAATCAGGTTTTCAATCTAATAAACACATTGTGCTAGTTAGACCCTGTCAATCGCGCTGTATGAGGAAGAAAACAGTGGAGACTGTCTCCTGTTCACAGGACAGACGGACAACCGGTTGCCAGAGGATGAGTGGGAGGAAAGAGAGAAAAGAGAAGAGGCATTCAGGGGAGAGATAGCTAAATTGAAAAAAGCATGAATAGGGAGCTCAAAGACTTCACAGCACAGATTCCTGGAGGCTTTGCTTCTATAAGAGTTGAGAGACCTTTGCTGTCAGTCATTTGTTGGTCCACTGCTACTTGTGAAGAAGTGCAAGCTAGCCAAAGTGTTGTTAGAGCAGATCGCAGTTTAGTGGGCCACCCTGGCCAATCCGTCCTCATTTCCCCAGGCGCCTCTCTGTCTCCTCGGGTCGAATGGCTCAGTCTGTGCGCCACCCGTCCCGCGTCCCCCCTTTTCAGAAGAGTGGGATCAGCAGACCGAGATGACAAAACAAGAGCACTCCTTTGTGGTGGTTGGGGAGGAAGTGGAGGGTTGTCTGACGATCTCAGCCGTGGACCACCCTTTTGGCTGTAACATTTGGAAAGTTGTGAGGACTGAGCAGACACAATAAGGAGACCTGAGAGGCTGACAACAGGACCTAGAATACTGTGTACTATAGGCTAACACAAAGAAGGTCAGGACAGTATGATCTGGAGTTGACACAGGTGTAAATATAGTTTTTGACTTGTGTTTTTGGTTTTAGGAAAGACACAAAAAAAAGACACATCCCTTCAAACTTTTGGAATGTTGAGTATTACTTTAACTAAAAACCCTTTGCACGCTAAAGCTTGACGGACCTGCCATGCCTACGGTCACTCTGCTATGATTGGACAGTCACTCTTTGTGGGTTGGGTTTAGCAAATAGGTAATTCAGTAATCAATGCACCATCGGCTGTTTCCTTAAAATGCCGCTGGCTCGATTATGGCGACACACGAGGGGAACTTTAGACAGAGAAATAATTCTTGGACATTTAGAAACATTTAGAAACTTTTTATAGAGCTCAAGCAGCCACACGATCAAGTGTCTCCAGACAGATAGCAAGAAAATGGTGGTGAGCAAAATCTAAACGTCAAAACTTGACATACCAAACTTTCTCCCCATCAAGTGTTATTTTATAAATCTAGGTTATATTTGGTTTCTGGGGCATCACGTCTTAGTTTTTTTTTGTGTGTCTTAGAAACCATCATCTTGACTCTCTGCCGGTAAGTAGTTCTGGGATACAAGCTCAAAAAGAGCTGTCCCATGTTTTGATGTACAGAAAGAACATCAGAAAATTATCTGTTTTTTTTTCCTGGCCTGTGGTATTTTTGGCTTCCCATCAGCCTGTGCAACAGCTTGATCAATTGACAGGAATTCAGAAGCCAGTGAAGTTAAAATGTCCGGAGATATCTGTCGGAACACTGAAGAATTCCCGGATGTTTGACAGCATGAAGCTACAACACGCCGGTGGGAGAGAAAAACAGACAGAGAAGAACACTAAGAGGAAGAAGAAGAAAAGTGGTTCTGATTGTTTTTTAAATGACTGTGTTAGAAGAGGTCTTGGTGATTCAGAGTGACATCTTTAACCTTCCACAGAGCGGGTTGTGTCTGAGGGGGTGAAGGAGAAAGCTTTATCATCGTGAGTTTTCTTTCCTCACCTGTGCATGCTGCCACCTGTCATTAACAACCAGAGGAGGCTGTGAGGACAAGCGTTTATTCATCCTCCCACACGACACCTTGCAAATCAAGGAGGAAGATGTAATTAATGTTGTTGTTGTCATGTATGCCTGGACGTCGATCTAACACCGAGATTTCAAGCAGCGATCGTAATCCTTCTGTTTGCCGTGGCACTCCCAGGGTGAAGGGGTCTGTCTGTGTTTAGCCTACCCGGGACAGA